CCGGCTCACGGCTCACGCCCGCACCGCCACCCGCAGCCGCCCGTTCGCCCAGTGCACGCCCGGCGCCCGCTCGCCGCAGCCAAGGGGAAACCGAGACGGAAGGGAAAAAGTTGCAGCTGGAATTGAGGGGGTCTGGGCTGGGGGAGTTGGCGAGCCGGCTGCGCCCCGCGGAACGGCGAGCTCCTTCCCACTTTTTGGCCCTCGCGCTGCCCGGTGTTTTGCTGCAATCCCGACCACGAGAGGAAGTGAAATTGACGCGGCCGAGGTGACCGGGGAGCGCTCCCGAGCCTAGGTGGTGGGGGGCACAGCATCAAATGCGATGACGAGGGGGTGCGGGAGCGCACAGGAACCCCCGAGAGGCACCCAGAGCCGGGGACGGGGACCGAGGGCGTGCGACCCTCCATCTAAATGGCACTCATATCCATATTCGAGATTCTGGGCTGTGCTGGGGACTGCGGGGGCACGGCCGGGTGGGTGCCCCCAATTCCCCCTGCGCCTTCTTGGCGCTGGGCTTTGCGTACGGTCTGGAACATTCAGGGAGCCGGGAAGGAACAGGCGCCGGAAGGGCTGAGCTGGGAAGCCGAGCTGGCCGCTGACGAGCCGAGCGTGCGAGAGAACCGGCCGGGGAAATTGAGATGCAAGGGGCATTTTTTGGCAAGCATCAGGCCAGCGCTGTCAGAGGCCGGCTTCTCTGGCTGGGCTCTTGGGTGCGCTGCGCTGGCTGCCGGGTGAGGGGGCGGGCGGGCTGCTTTCTCCGGATTCGGGGGTGCAAACCCTCCTTCCTTCCCTCCCACACAAGCACCCCTTCCTGGTAGGGGCGCAAAGCAGGTGCAGCCTTCGGTGAGAGCTCACTTCCCGTCGGGAGAGGAGGGGGGTCCCTGGTTTCTGCCTTGGTAGGGATTTTTTTTTAATAAAACATCAAAATGCCAAGTGTGAGCTGTTTGCTGAGAAAACCCGAGCATTCGCTGTGCGAAAGGAGAAGAAAGGGTTAGGGAAGTCGGAGCAGGCAGACACACTACAGCATTCACACGCAGAAGCAAGCTGGGCTCTCCTCCCCGAGCCTGGGTGAGGGCCTGGGTGAGGGCAAGCGAGGAAGCGGAGACGCTGGATTCAACTGCATCCAGCATTTGAAAAGCTGCTCCCCCGCCCTCCCCCCTGCGGATTCCAAAGCAGGTCGTGCAACTTGCAGGCAAGATGGGGGAAGGGGCATGCGAGTGCCACCCGCCTGCCCCAGGCACAACCACGGGCAGGGCAGGCCAGGCGCCTGCGAGTGGCACTGTCACTGCGAGTAAACTTGGAGGGGGAGGGGGGAGGAACATGTCTATAAAAGGCAGTTTTCCCGACCTCCCCTTACATTCTGCCTTTCATTGGCCTCAATGAGACTTTTAGCCTCTTGTTGCTATGATGGCCTTGTCCCTAGACTGGCATTTTGCCATCGCACCAGCAGGAGGGGACAGAGTGGAGACCTTCTTAGACTCTCAAACCATTTCCTACTGGCCCCAGGCCAGTCTCTGATCTCCTTGGCCCAATAGTAATCTCCCTGCCGCTCCAAGTGCCATTCTGGGATTAGCTCTAGAATAGCTGAGAGTCAGGAAAACTGAGGCATGTGCAAAGCTCCAGCTTGGCCACTCAGGAGGTGGCAGGTGGCAGCAGAGAAACACAGGGGAACCTCTCTCAGACCACTCCAGGGGCAATTCCAGTAAGCAGGGGATGCCAAGTGGATTTAGTCTACCCATCAGTCCTCCAGCCTGGAATGGAAATAGTTCTGGCTAAAGACACCAAGCACTTTTTTTTTTTTGATAGAGGAATGATTTTTAACATGTCCAACAGAGAAGAGTTGTTGTCCACAGTCAGAACAAATAAAGAACTTTTAAAGCCCCTTTGGAGATGGTCAAATGCAAGCTGTGAAGCAAGGGGCCCTGATGGGACGAAGCGGCTTCATCCGAACAGTAAAGTAGGATTGAGATGGGATGATGTTTATGCAGAGCTTGGGGCCTGAGCAGGAAGTGGCAGTTTGGAGGAAGGCAGGCCCTTTTTAAAGCAGATGACGGATGGAAGTGGGGAGAACAGTCCTATTTCCAATCAGAGGCAAATCACATAAGCCTGTGGGCCTCAGCTTCCACGTCTGTGAAATGACTAGGTTGCACCTCGCTACCCAAAGTGTGGGCCTCTGACTGGCAGCACTCACATCACCTAGGAGCTTATTATAAATGCAGCACCTGAGGCCCCACTCCAGACCTACTGAACCTGAAGACCCCTTTCAACAAGCTCCCCAGGCAGTTCACAAGCCCATTACAGTTTGGGAAGTACCAACTCCCTTCCGGCTTGAATATTCTCTGATTTTGCAGAGCTGGGCTGGTGAGACTGTTGAGAAAAGAAGGATCGTTGATATGGATTCTCAGGATATTACTCAGGATGAAATAAACAAGGTATTTCAGATACAAGGAGCTTGTCCAACCAGAGCTGTGAAGTTTCACAAAAGTACAAGAAGGTGCTCAGCCTGCCCAGAGAAGTTCCTCATGTTTCATTAATTCTTAACCTCTGAGATAGGCCACATTTGGATGAGGAAGCAGGGGACAGTGTCCAGCATACACAGCCACCCCTTGGTCAAAAGGGGTCCAGAGCACTTGGGGTGTCTTGTCTCCTGGTAAGAATACCCTGGTTGGCAAGGAAGAAGGCCCGTCACGTCGTCATGCATCCCAGTCTGCAGTCATCACTGGATCGTAGAGAGATCATGACCCAGCTCAGCACCCCACCAATCAGGGGACAACCCTTCTTGCTGCCATCTCTTGCTGCCAGCTGCAGTCTTAGAAATGAGGAAACTTACCAGTGTATCCCCTGCTGATCATAAGCAGCAACAATGGGCAAAGTTTTCTGAACAGAAAGTAAAGCTTTAGAAACCCTTTACAGCTGAGCAGATTCCCTCTAGTACTGGTGGTTCGGAAAAGCTGGGACTATTCCCAAAATCTGGATGTGGTCTTACACCAGACAGACCAGAGCGAAGGCTGCCTCCCAGAGCAGTGGTGCAGCCTTCCTGATGCCTAGAGAAACTGACACACCCCATCCCAAAGGGCATGTTCCAGCTGTATGGCACCTGAGATTTCTCCTTGGCTATTTGCTTATAACATATCCCCAAAGACAAAATTCCCTGCCGTCTAGAAAAGAAGGGAGTGGAGACTCAGGAAACATACAAACACAACATGCTGACCTACGGATCATGGCCTCCCAGTGCCTCCCTGCGCTGCAAGCACCCCTGCCAGCCCACTGGTCATACGCCCGCCTTTCTAACCTAGCCACATTCCCTTTTCCCATGAACCCACGCTCGAGTCAGTGGCCACATTACAGGAATGCAGGCCAGGCCCTAGTCATTCTGGATTCACCCACCATACTCCTTTGGTGTCAGCCTGAACCCAGGAGCTGTGCTGTAGGAGTTGGAGCACAAATGGGACCCACTGCTCTAACAGCTGGGAAAGGAACTGGGGGATGATGGGGGATAGGGGGGAAGGGGTCACAAAAGGAGACCAAGGGAGAACTGGGCCTTGAAGAACATGCTGTTCCAAAGGGCTACGTGCAGCCAGCAGCTTTGGACTTGGATCAGAGAAAGAGGCTAGTTTCCTGGGTGGCCTGTGCTCAGGATGTATTGGAGGCTGGGGCCAGCTGATGGTATTCAGAAGGCCAGGTGCCACGGAGGGGATTTTGAGCCTACATGGCAAGTAACAGCCCTGCCACTCCTGGGGACTAGAGGGACAAGTCAGGCACAGAAGCAGGGAAATCTAACCACAGGAGGCCTCAGCTCAGGACCCTGACTAGAGTCCCAAGATCTTGGGCACACACCTGCCAGGAGGCTGGAGCCACCTGCAGGTGGACAGAGCCCCTTGACCATCCCTCCTGTCCATTAGGGAGATTCCCTGGGGGATACCCAGATTGTCCTGTCCTGCCCTGATGGGTGTGTCTGGAGGGAGGGTGGGGTCCTTACCAGAGACACTGTCCCAGTGATCCTACCCACCCTGGAGGGGGCATTCCTGAAGTCCCTAGGCTGGAAAGAGCTCCCAAGGCCAAAGACCCACAATCCCCCTTGATGCAGAAATCTCTTAACAGCGGCCCCAAGTGCCCACCCCTATCCCTTCAGGGAAGGGAGCTCAGACCACCCTCGGCCTCCCACCCTGTCGTCCAACAGCTTTATTCCTTGGAGAGCCTTCAGATGGAAATAGTGAAACCAGCCTCCCTGTAGCTGCCGCCCTTGGTA